CACCGACTCCCCTGGGGGGCCCACACCTGTGCCAGCGAGAGACACGGGCTGGGAACCTTCCTAAAGTTCCCTCATGTGGAAACTGTGGGAACAGCCTGGCAGCTGGGTCCCCCACACCTCGGGGCGGGGGTATCTGGTGTGGCGGTCCCCACTCTCCCTCACGCACCCACCCTGAGCCACGGAGGAGACCAGCCCCTCCCGGGAAGGAAGCTGGACACTCCATGCAGGCCTCGTGTCCCTGTCCTAATCCTCTGGCCACGCTGAATGTCCCCCTTGTCCCTGCCCCCACCCCTCCAGCCAGGCTGATCCCACCCCCCACCTCGTCCCTGCCTCCACTCCAGCCAGGCTGAAACCCCCCTTCCCTGTGCCTCTCCTCCAACCTTGCTAAACCCCCACTCCGCCCCAGAACGCCCCCCTCACCGCCCACGCTGCCTCCCCGAGCTCCCCCCGGCCTGCCCCTGGACAGCTCACTGTGCTACTTGCAGGGCCAGCTGGGGAACCCACAAAACATTCCTGGTTTGAAGTTGATACAACCGGCCACATAAAAAGGCTCAAATATGCCACAATCTTAGAAGCTGGGGACAGAGCCCAGCAAGAGGGTCTCATGCAGACTGCTTTGGGGGTGGAAAGAAAAACAGATTATTTTTTTTTTACCCTTGACACTAAAAATAACCACAGAGGAGACATAATAAAGATCTAATTCATGGTATCCAAAGTATCTATACAATACCTAGGCTTAAGCCAAAGAAAATTTTGCAGTAGACATAAGAATAAACGCAAAACTAGACTGAAGGGTATAAAATTCTCCTTACTAATGGGAGAGACACGCCATCTACTTGTCCAGGAAGATTCCTTATTGTAAAACTAGAAAATCTAACCGGATTGTGAGAAGTTATCCCAAACATTCAGGGAGTGGGTGTTAGAGATCAGAGTTTCCGTTCTGCAGTTTATGTACAAGAGGCAATAAGCAATAATGTCCCAGAATAACTGGGAAAAAGAATAGAATCAAAAAGAGTGAGTGCTCTGAACCAGCTTACCGGGACAAGCAGGGAAGAATGAATTGTCTTTTACTAAGTGATTCTTGGAGGGTAGATACCCACTTGCAGAACAATAAACTTGGACTGTCGGCCAGATGGGCCAGATCCATAAAATAATTCAGTGGGGTTTATGCTTGGGGCCTGAGTGATAGTCCAGTGGGTTGGGTGCTTGCCTCGTACACAGCCAACAGGAATTCCTTCCCATACGGTCCCCTGTGTGCAGCCAGGAATGATCCCTGAGAGCAGAACCAGGAGTAAGCCTTGAGTACCACTGGGTGTGGCCCAAAACATAAAATAAAATAAAATAAAAATGGTTGATGTTTAAACAGAAACACAGACACACGACCTCATCCACTGTAATCCCAGGAAGGTTTTCTTAGCTAAGGCCCTAGAGAATAATGAACAGAGAATGACAGAGAAGTTGAAACCCCATCGACGTCACAGGACCAAGAAAGTGAAAAGAGGAGGTGCAGACTTCATTTGCAAACCATCCCTCAGACAGAACCAGAACCGAGAGAGAGAGAGAGAGAGAGAGAGAGAGAGAGAGAGAGAGAGTTCCTCCGGGTCAGTGCTAGGGACAGGAGCCCAGGGGCAAGGGCCAAAGGATCTGAGCAGATCCCAAGTTGTTCGGATGATCAGTGAACTCTTGGCAATGTACTGAGAGAATGGAAGGCAAAGACCACGGAACAGTGCCACTGCACACATTAACACAGTGAAAAAAAAATTAGTAGCTTGGGAGTCACACCAACAAATGGCACCATGTAATCATATCAATGGCCAAGACACAGAGACTATAAACTAAAACTCCCGAAAGAGAGCGCCACAGAATGTCCTGACCCCACGCCAGGCTGTCCTCACCGGGGCACCTTGGAGGAGGGCAGGTTGAGTTTCCCTCCCTGCCGCACACAGAACTCCGGCAGCCGAAAACCTCCAGAACCCAATCGCCACCATGCTCAAGGCCACTCTCCAGACACTCGGACGAGCCTCACCCAAGAGGGGACAAGACTCACCCAAGACGGGATGGACCTCACCAGAGAGCAAACTGGCAGGAAAACGCTGTCCTATGATGTAATCAGCTTAACTTCATCATCTGGATTTGGAGAATTCTGAGATAGGACCGAGATCAGATTAGTCCTCTAAGATTGAAGTGCAAGGCAAACGAATCGTGGTGAACTCACCACGGCCGCGCGACATCTGATTATCTCATTCCTACTTTGGACAAACTGGCAGGCTCCCGAATGTAACCTGCCCACAGGGCAGAGTCTGGCAAACTCCCCGTGGCTACCCAATATGCCAAATACCAGTAACAATGAAGGGTCTCGTTCTCCTAACCCTGAAAGAGCCTTGAATATGGCACTTTTTAAAAAAAATCTCAGGGCTAGGACGAAGGAGACGTTACTGGGGCCTGCTCGAGGCAATCGACGAATAACAGGATGGTCGTGATCGTGATTGTGATCATGAACTCACAACAGCAAATGATGCCTGTGATATGGAACCGTAGCAGAAAACCAGTGTTCTCTTTTGGTGAGACCCAATACTTGCAGTTTAACTTTGAATTACTATAAATGCATTAAGCTCCCAATTTAAAAAATAATAATAAAATTAGAAGGCCGGAGCGATAGCACAGCGGGGAGGGCGTTTGCCTTGCATGCAGCCGACCTGGGTTCGATTCCCAGCATCCCGTATGGTCCCCTGAGCACCGCCAGGAGTAATTCCTCTGTGCATGAACCAGGAGTAAACCCCTGAACATTGCCGGGTGTGACCCAAAACGCAAAAAATAAAATAAATAAAGAAGGAGGAGGAAGATGAAGGAGGAGGAGGCCCCACTCTGGGGTGCCGCCAGCCCCGGCACTGACCAAACCTTCTTTCTGTCCTGCCACCATCACTCTGGGCCTCATGCCCCCTCTGCGGCCACTCCCCTCTCAGTTCCACCAACAGAAGCTCCCACACTCCCTGCAGTGCCTGGTGTGGCCAACTCAGCCTGGCCACTGCTGTACTGGCCATTCACCCCCATCTCTCGGGCTCTCTGGTGGCCTGGCAGGGAGAGGGCCGGATCGGGCGAGGACCCCAAGGAAGCAGGGACGCCTCCACTTGACCCGCCTGAGCGCCCCTGAGGGATGGTTTCAGGCCCAGAAAACCCGCCAGAGGCGCTCAGAAAGGGGCAGCGTGCATGGGAGGGCAGGCCCGGGAACTGACCACTGTGCTTCCTCCCTCAGGGTCACTGCTACTACCACGGGCACGTGCATGGCCACCCCGGATCCAGCGTCAGCCTCAGCACATGCGCCGGGCTCAGGTAGGTGCTGGACGAGGACCTCGGTGGCCCCTCTGGGCCCGGAATTCTGGGTGGGGATGTCCTCCCTTGGACCCTCAACCCTCCCTGGAGAAACCCCCCCTTCCTCTCCTACACTGTGTTTCTCTCCCCTGAGCCCACGCGGGGACCAGAACCCCCTTAAAAGTCTGTTGGACTTTCTATCCCGTCCTCTGAGACACTTCCAGCTCCAAGTCTGTAACCAGCCATCTGTGACAATCCACCGAACTGGCGGTTCGCTTATCTAAAGGGGACAGTCGGGCTGTGAGAAGCTCAGGATCTTGCGTCTCAGAGGCTGAACCCTGATTCCGTCCGCTGCAGTTCCCAGCAACGCTCAGAGCTGGGTGATTCATCAGGCCGGAGGCAGCCCAGAGCGGTGGTTTAATCACGGCCCGTGATAAGCTGCCAACCGTCTGGAGCCCAGGGAGACACTTCACCCGTCTCTCGACATCTGCCCTCTGGATGGCTTAGAAGATAAAGGGGGGACGTGTTTATGACTCAGTAACAATTTCTAGGAATGTCCTGCAAAGTCGGGAAACTTTTCCAGTAATTTTCTTCTCACGATTAAAACTTCAGTGGCATTTTTTTTTACAGTGGGCTACCCGCTATTTTCAATCCGGTGTGAAAGAAAAAATTTTGCTGCAGAAGGAAATGAAATATTGGCATTTTCCTCCTAGGCAAAAAAAAAAAAAACCACTTTATTTTGCTAGCAAATCTTTTTCTTTCTAGTGTGTTCCTTTGCGACTTTCCCTTGACTTCGCTCTCTTTTTAAAGTTCCCTCTCTTAATTTAGGCATTTTACTATCAGCATTTTTTTTAATCACCGTGAGATACAGTTACAAGCTTTCATGTTTGAGTTACAGTCACACAATGATCAAACACCCATCCCTCCCCAGTGCACATTCCCCACCACCAGTAAGTTGCTTTTTTTTTTTACAAAGCCCCTATTATTTATTTGTCATGTCTAAATCTAGAGATTTAAGTTTTATAAATGTTAAGGACTTGCAAGAAAGGCTAGAAACCGTTCCAGAGCTGAAGACCAGAGTCTTGCCTGCTCGGAATCCTCAGAGCAGTGTGGAGATCCTGGTGGGGTCTGGGGGTGAGGAAGTAGGGACAGAGAGTGGACAGAACAGCCACAGAGAAAATGGCTTTAAATGACCCCCCAGGATGTGGACAGAGCCACGGCCACTCGCCTAAGACCTGGTACTTTCTGCTCACTCACGTCTCGGAACCTGGTTCTCGCCCAGAGCACGAGCTGATGTGTGGTGCCCGCTGCCCACTTTGCAGAAGCAAAGACGAACCCGGGAGCAGCTGTGCTTGGCTGAGGTCCCTGCTGGCCACCGGGGCCAGAGAGGGCGTCTTCCCTCCTCCATCCCACTGAGGTGCAGAAATATTTGGTGCTTTGTTCTTTTTTTATATATATATTTATTTATTTGCTTTTTGGGTCACACCCAGCGATGCTCAGGGGTTACTCCTGGCTCATGCACTCAGGAATCACTCCTGGCGGTGCTTGAGGGACCATATGGGATGCTGGGAATCGAACCCAGGTCGGCCGCGTGCAAGGCAAACGCCCTCTCCGCTGTGCTATCGCTCCGGCCCCTTGGTGCTTTGTTCTAATTTAAGAAGATTCCATCACGGGCCAGAGAGCGAGCGGGTAACGCACGTGGCCGGCATGTGGCCAGCCCGAGTTCTGCCCCCAGCCACAGACAGCCCCTCACACCCATCAGGACTGGCCCTGAGCACAGAGTCTGGAGTGCACTCTGAGCACCTCTGCGGGTGGCTCCAAAATCTTAAGACTAAAAAATTGGTCCTGCCAGGGCCCCCGTGCGTGTAGGACGAGCCAGGGGGACAGGGGGCTGTCATGGCGGAGGTGGCTAAAATCCGGCTCCTTCCGGCCCTTCTGGAACTTCCCTTTCCCTTTATGCCATTGCTGAGTGGCCTGAGTCGCCCCCATGGGGTGCTCCCGGGGCCGCAGGCTTTGCCCAAGTGCGTAGGCTAGTGGTCAGTCCAACTTGTTCGGTGGTGCTGCCTGTGGGCATCTTCTCAGCGTTGGCCAGCGGTGGGTGCTCTCCAGCTAGCGTGGCTGTGGTCCTGTTCACCAGCCTTAGTGGTGGTGCCCGAATACCCCCAGCTAGAGGGCACTAGAGGGCACACGTCCTGATGTGGGGCACACAGATCATGCTTACGCATGTGGGTGGCACCAGGGATTGAACCCTTGACCTCATGCTTGCAAGGCAGAGACTTTTAACTAATTTATCGGGACCCACCAAGTGTTGCTCAGGGACTTTTCCTGACTTTGTACTCAGGGTGAGTTCTGGTGGTGCTCAGGGGAGCCTCTGGGGGGCTGAGGATTCAAACCATGGCCGAAGGCATATAAGGGAGGTCTGCCTTCCAGCGAGTCCTATCCCCCCCCCCCCGGCCCTGGCCCCGAGCCATCTCTCAGGTGTCTTACAGAACTCAACCCAGTTTTTGAAAACGTTGTGTTTCTTAGTAGATATCACACCTGACTCTGACCAGGGGCCATCAGCATCACGCCTGGTGGTACTCAGGACTTATCCCCAACTCTGTGTCAGGGATTGCTCTGGTGGGGCTCCAGGGACCTCGGGGTCAGGGACTGAACCGGCATTGGTCGTATGCAAGGCCAAGACCCCTGTGCTGTAAGAGCCTGGTCGAGGCACCGGCCAATCTTTGGGCTGCCATAACAGATATTACATGTTGGAACAAAGGCCTTAGCCCAGGGGGTCCTCAACATTACCTGCGGTTCTGGCTTTCGTGGAATCACCCGCAGGACACGGTGGCCACACGTCTCTGTGGGCTGTCGTGGGGGCAGGTGCTGGTTCGGTCCCTCAAGAGCGCCCCTGTGCCAGAATCTTCGTGCTGACTGCGGAGTTGTGCGTGACCGCTGCAGATGGGCAGGGTGTGGCCCCTTGTTTGAAAATGGAAGGGACAGGATGGCCATGGGAGCCCCCTCAGAGGGTCAGAGAGGACAGCCGGCCTCCCAGCCTCTGCCACGGTCCTTCCACCTGTGCAGGGGGGGTGGGAATGAATGATTCAGATGAGGGACTTTCCTCTAAGAAAAAAAAATGTTCCCCCTCCGGGGTCTGCCTGCTCATTCAGATAGATTCTCTAGGCAGATTTTTAAAAATCTTTTCTCTCAGTTCTTCCAGGCTCTCTCTCTCTCTCTCTCTCTCTCTCTCTCTATATATATATATATATATATATATATATAAAATATCACAAATCACAAATCATCCTGTTATTTGTCAATTGCCTCGAGCAGGCCCCAGTAACGTCTCTTTCATCCTAGCCCTGAGATTATATTCAAGGCTCTTTAGGAGAATGAGACCCCTCATTGTTACTGGTATTTGGCATATTGGGAATGACACAGGGAGTTTGCCAGACTCTGCCGTGTGGGCAGGTTACATTCGGTAGCCTGCCTGTTTGTCAAAGTATAAGATGTCGCGCGGCCGTGAATGCAGCCGCGCGCTTCCGGGAGCTGGTTTTTATAGTCTCTGAGTCTTGGCATATATAATATAAAAATATGTATATTTTTAAAGCTACTATAAAATATCTCATACCAAAGCTTCACAAGCTTTGCTTTTGAAAAGATTTTCAAATTGAATCCCTGCAAGTTTGTGGCATAGAAATGTCCTTCCCAGGCCTGGAGCAATAGCACAGCGGGGAGGGCGTCTGCCTAGCACGCGGCCAACCCAAGTTTGATTCCCAGCATCCCATAGGGTCCCTCGAGCACTGCCAGGAGTAATTCCTGAGTGTATAAGCCAGGAGTAACCCCTGTGCAATGCCAGTGTGACAAAAAAAAAAAAAGCAAAAAAAAAAAAGTCCCTCCCAACTAAGCTGGAAATTATAAATACACTAGGATTCCTCCTTTCATTCCCTCTTGCTAAGGACTGGGTCTCAGGCAGAAGCGAGAGGCTACCTTTACAAAACGTTTGTTTGAGGGGCCGGGGAGACTGCAACAGGGCTCAGAATTATGCTTTGCCTGTGCCAGGCCCTGAGTTCTATTCCTGATGCCACATGGTCCCCAAATACCACCTGGGCAGCCTCACCCCCCTGTGGACCCCTCCCCCGCACCAGGGGGTCCACACAGCAGCGCCTTGCCAGGCTGGAGTGTTGATAACCATCAGATGGTTATCAAGTGTCATCTGAGCTTTGACTGGGAGCTGTCATCAGCCCTTCCCCCCCACACACACAAAATATAAATAGATAAATAAATAAAATCTGTTGTTACTTTCTCTTTTCTTATTTCTCATTCACCAGGGGACTTCTGACCTTTGAAAACCAAACCTACATCTTAGCCCCAGAGAGCAACGCCCGTAGCGGATACACGCTCTCGCCGGCCCAGGGCCTGCCGGCCTTCAGGGGCTCCTGTGGGTCACATGATCATCCTGCGGACCCCCAGCGTCCACCACCATCCCAGACGCCGCCCAGACGGGTAGGAGGGAAGCCCCCGTCCTGTCTCTGGGAAGTGAGGGTCCGGCTAGGTTGAACTTGGTGTGTGCCGGGGGAGGCTGGTTTATCTGGAGGCTGTCTGGACTGTGCACGGAGGTTGACCAGCCACTGGACACACACAGCCAACCTCCATCCACTCCATGTCGGGAAGAAGCCCCCAGTCTTGGCCTCCCAGAGAAGCAGGGAAGCGCCAACTCCTCGAGCTGTTTGTCCCTCTTAGGGAACCAACGTACTTAGTTTTGCGTTTTCCTCTCTGCTGCTTGTTGGCTGGAGGGAGAGGCTTGGAGTCACACCCTACAGTGGTCTGGGGTGATTCCTGCCTCTCTGCCCAGTGATCCCCACTGGTGCTCAGGAAACCGTAAGCAATGCCGGGGGTTGAACCAAGGTCCACGGCATGCAAGCGTCTTTCCCACGGGACTCTCTCTGGCCCAAATTTCCTGTCTTTGAGGTGGGCTGCCCTGGTTTCTGTGGTGCTGGCATGAGCCTGAGGTCCGAGCTGGTGTGTCCCCGGGGAGCAGGGCAGAGTTGGCTGGGTGTGCGGGGTGCAAACAGGACAAAAGGCCTGGGGAGGCCGCTGAGTCTCCTCAAACACCCCAGGGCTGGGCTGTTCTGTTGACAGCTGGGACGTTAGTCTAAGAGAAGCCAGGCATAAGGACAGACAGACAGACAGACGGACGGACGGACGGACAGACAGACAGACAGGCAGGCAGGCAGGCAGGCAGACAGACAGACAGACGGACGGACGGACAGACAGACAGACAGACAGACAGAGACAGAGAGAGATGCTCCAAGCAGCATTATTAGTCGCTGCATGCCTAGGAAGTTGCCGGACCCCGGGACACTCATTCCCACGGGTCTCTTCTTGACTTTCTCTCTGTCTGTGGGGTCCCTGGTCCCAAGTTTTTCCAGATGCCCGACTCAGAGTTACAAAGATAAAGAAGTTTATAGAAAAGTCAAAAGTGACACAGCCCAGCCCGAAGGGTTCCCCGCTGGCTCAGGGCTTGTGTGACTCTTTGTAAGTAGAAATTGAGCCAGTTTCTGCCAAGGGCTGGGTGGTCTGTTGGCTTCCCACTGTCTGATGACCAGGCCCTTTCCTGAGGTCAGGTAATCCTGCCTCTCCTCCTCCCAGTTAGCCCAGGAGGCCACACCTTCCTTAGAAGCTCCTGGTCAGTTAGGAGCCCTGTGACCCTCTGCCGGGCACAGCTGTCCTCAGGGCTCAGCCTCGTAGGTGCCCCCGAGGCCTGGGGCCTAATTCCTCCATTTGTCCTCAGGCCTGGTCTTGGGCTCAGATGCAGAGTCCCAGAGAGAATCCAGGAAACATCAGAGAGCAGCTGCTAACACAGACAGGGGCAGGCTGGGTGAGGCCGCTCTTAGCAGCCAGCAGGGGGAAACTGAGGCTTCCCCATTTACGTCCACGTGGCCGTCCTGACCATTCCTCCTTCCTGCCCTGAGCTGGAGGCTCTCAGAGCTCCGTGGGGTGGGGGATGCCACAGGCCCCGGCAACGTCCTGGAGGTTTCCTACGCCTGAGGCTCCCACTAGTCCCAAGCAGGTGAAAACACTCGACGGACAAAACCAGATTAGGACACGGAGGAAGGCGGTGGCTGAGCCTCCTCACGGAGCCCTGGGGGCTGGTCCCCATGTCAGCGCCCACCTGTGCCCCCTCCACTCTGCCCAGCCTGGCTCCTCTAGCCGGTCCCCAGGGCCTCCGAAGCCACAGCCACGCCGAGTCCTCCTACGGCAACGCCCGCGACCCCAGAGGCAAGGCCTGGCACCTCGCCCCATTCTGCTCCTCCATCGAGGAAGAGATCCCCAACTTAGGGTCCGTTTCATGGGCCGCGCGTGAGCCGCTGGCCAGCTTGGCTGATGTCACCTGCACTGTGCGTCTGCCCGGCCCCATCGAGACTGCCCCAACCCTGGCCTCCTGCACTGCGGCACGCACCACTGGGCTTGGGAAACCTCCCACGTGGGGGTCCCATGGCTCTTAGATGATTGGACCCCGTCTGGGGTCCTGGGTCTGGCTCCTGGACTCCTCTTCCCCGCCACATGCCCTTGGGCTCTCGGGGTCAGCTATTCCCCCCACGATCTTTCCCCTCACTCTGCCCACCACGTCTGCCCCTGGGGCCCCCCACTCTGCCCACCATGCCTGCCTCTCCCCGGGAACCCCCAGCTCTGCCCAGCCAAGGGGGAACACCAGGAGACCCTACATCCCCTCCCCGTCTCCAGCGATCTGCTGGAAGGACCCCGTGTAGACGGGCACCCCCACCCCCAGGGCCCACTGTGCTTCTGCATTTGTCAATGACCCCCCCTCCGTGGCCCCCTGCACTGCCGGTGACTCAGCAGAAACGTCCAGGGCTGAGTGAGTGTTTCCCAGAGGCACTCGGGAAGCTGCTCGCTCAGGTGGGAAAGGTTCCGCCCGCTCGCTGACGTTGGCATGGACTTCTGTGAGGAACGGAGTGTGGGCATCACGGAGCTGGCCGGAGAAGCATCCCCTAAGCAGGGCTCGTGGGAGAGACAGACTTGGGGGACGTTCAGACCCTGTCTTCTTTTGGCAGCAAAAACGAGAGACCCTCAGGATGACAAAGTACGTGGAGTTGGTTATCGTCGCAGATAACCGGGAGGTAAGAACTTTCTGGAATGTTCCACTGCAGGGGATTAAGACAAAAGTTATTACACAAGCGGGGGCTGGAGCCATAGCACAGCAGGGAGGGCGTTTGCCTTGCACACGGCCGACCCAGGTTCGATTCCCAGCATCCCGTATGGTCCCCTGAGCACCTCCAGGGGTAATTCCTGAGTGCAGAGCCAGGAGTATCCCCTGTGCATCGCTGGGTGTGACCCAAAAAGAAAAAAAAATGTTATTACATGGGATAGAGATGATTCACAAGTATCGCCTGATGTAATTAACCTCACTTGCTATGAATCTGCAAAAGCCTTGCAAATAACCCACTGATTTTGGGGAGGGAGACACGCCTGGCAAACATGTCTCATATGTACCGCGAGGAATTCATGTCCCGACACAGGAGAAGAGCCTTCCCTTCTGAGGTGTTGTTAGCTTTTTCTTTTAATTAATTTTAATTCCAACCGGATCTTCTCTCGTGCTCTCCCATCTTCCCGCATATTATAAATTAGGTGACATTTTCTCAGAGAGCCTCGCAGCCTTGTGAGGGAGACAGGCTTGACAGTTTCTCAGAAACCCATTTCCTCTCTGGAAGGTCAGACCAGAAGGGAGAAGGGGGGAATTTATTACCTCGTAGCGTTTCCCTCCGCATTATTTGACTTGTGGCCACCATTCGCATTCCTTCTACTATTTAATTTTTACAAACAAATATAAAGGCAGTTTCTGGGGAAGTGAAAATCGAGTTGATGAGATAAAAAATGGCTTTGGACCGTCTTCCAGCTGTCTGACTTATTACCGGGCCGTGTCCCTCCTCCATCATTTATGAGGCTGGAAAATTCATGGGACTTGCTGTCTTAGGAGCACTTGGCCTGGGCGAATTTCAGGGACTTTCAGAGAGTCCCGGCTGGGAAATGACTTGGCAGGGTCGGGACCCACCTCAGCATCAACCAAGAAGGGTTCAGAAGAGGTCTGGGGGGAGATGGGGGTGCCAAAGACTTTGCATGTGGAGGGGCCGGCAGGGTGCCACCCGGGTCTCTAGACGCGGTCATTAATGCGGCCTTAATGCCGTCAGTTTCAGAGGCAAGGCAAAGACTTGGAGAAGGTGAAGCAGAGACTCCTAGAGATCGCTAATCACGTCGACAAGGTGAGTTAGCCGGAGGGAGGGAGGCAGTGAGTGTCAGGACGCCAGTGGACATGATGCCTAGGGCATCTCCAGGGCCTCGTCTGACCTAGGGGTCCCGGGCAAGTGCAGAATTTCCAACCCAACCTTTACGGTCAGCCCACAAAGATGCCTGCAGGCCGTGTCCAGTCCCAGCGTCTTCAGCTGCCAGATTAGATTCCCCTCCCCGGGGAGACCTCCCAGAGGTCCTCTTTCCTGCTGGGTGCCCAGTTCCATGCAGCACCTCCTAGCACCCCAGTCTCCTGGCATCCCCATGTTAGCCTTTGACTCGTTCGTCTTGGGAAATCCCCCATGAAGATTTAGGCAGCTGGACACTGGACGCTCCCCCCTTCACAGTCACTGTCGGGTTGGGAGGAGACTCTGGGGCCACCTACGAGCCTCCCCCTGGAGAGGGCTGGGGAGATGGTGCCTTGCTGACCTGAAGCGGTCACACCCCAAAGCAGAGGGAGAGCCTCCAGGTAGCCACGTCCAGAGGATGCTGGAATATACTGGAGCCTTCCGAGTTCTCGGGAAAGGACGGCAAAGGCCGTGGAGGAGACTCAGCCCTATCCCAACAGCACCCTGCGTGGTACAGAGAGCAGAGCCCGCCAGTGGCCACCCTGGCCTCCAGGCTTGCTTACTTCCTGGTGCTAATTGCTGACAGCCCCACTTTGTGGTATGTCTGGCACCCTGGTCAGCATCCAAACAAAAAGAGGAAACACCAGCCATCGGAGGTTTGTTAACTTGTGCTGATAATCAAAGAACAGGGTAGCTCAGGACAGCCTTGGGGAACCCGGGGAAGGGGAGGGTGAGGTTGAGGTGCTGGACTCACCGGGGACCACCGCCTCTGAGGCGCAGGTGCGTGGGCGGGCGGGCGGGCAGGTACACGCTGCTCTCAGATCCGCCGAGGGATGAGTCCTGGCCTTGCGCTGGTGTTCCAGCTGTCCCTCAGGAAACCATGGCCACTTCCTCACTGGCGGAGACCTCGGCTCCTCATGGCCATCGGAATTAAGAAGGGCTTGGCTGGAGCTAAGGAAAGGGGCGGGACACTGGGAACAGGAAGACAGGGAAGTGACTCGGTGGCCGAGGAGACCCTGAGAGCCGGCTCAGGTCCTGACTCCTGACTCGGCTGCCCTGTCGCCTCCATCCTTCCTCTGTCTCGTTCCTTTAGGGTTGGCAGCAGGGCTGGGGAGAGAAGGGCTAGAAGCAGCCTTTCCCATGGCGGCGGGGGTGGGGGGGTGGGGGGACTGGCACAGGAAACAGCCCTGAGCATGCCAGGACCCCATGTCCCCAGGTAGTCGGGCCCAAGTGCCGTCTTTGCCTATTGCTGAACGGATTTGCCATCTTAATTCCTCCAGTGCTCTCCTTCCCAGGGTGATGGCCTAGAGAGTGCAGGTCCCCCATGGGCCCTGATTGCCCCATCATTGGAAACATCTTTTCATGTCTACCAAAGGCCTTTTTTTAAAAAATTTTTATTAGTGAAACACCATGAGGTACAGTTGTAGACTTACAAATTTTTGTGCTTGGGTTTCGATTATACAATGATCGAGTACCCATCCCTCCACCAGTGCCCATTCTCCACCACCACTGATCCCAGGATCCGTCCCACTCCCCATCCCCCCATCCCATCCTGTCTTTGTGGCAGGTATTCCCTTTTGTTCTCTGTCCCCTTTGGGGTGCTGTGGTTTGCAAAAGAGGCATTGAGTGGCCATCATGTTCGGTCTAGAGTCTACTTTCAGCATGCTTCTCCCATCCTGGGAGGATCCTCCTAACACCCTTTATTTGGTGCTCCCTTCTCTATCTGAGCTGCCAAAGGCCTTTTTTGAGCCTGGGACCCCACCCCACTTCCTGTTGGTGGGCAGTTCCTGGCCATGGGGGCTGGTGGTGCATGGCCCAGGGTCCCGGCCTCCAGAGAGTTGGGAGCCAAGGGTTGAGGGATTCTCCTCCTCATTCTCCGAGCCAGGACTGAGCCTGGAGAACAGCAAGAGTCAAGCCAATGTTCACTGCCCCTTGCTCCTGGGTGCGTCCAGGCAGCCTCTCGGGTCTGGCCACAGCTGAGGATCTCCATAGACCTGGCCCCCTCCCTGCCACTGCTGTTGACTTGTTTGTGAGAAAACCACTCCTGAGTTGTCCATCCGGGTTGCAACCCGGACCGGGTACCCTGAGTCGGGGCAGAGACTGAAGTCAGGAAGGCAGAAATGGGAACCGTGGCAGAGAGGATTCGTGCACTGTTTCTCAGGCCTGCCAGAAGGGAACTGCCCTCACACATTTCCCTGGAACTGGTGGTGGGTCACTCCCGGCCCCGGGGTAGAGGACCACGAAAACTCCAGGATGCGTCGTGTCTGCCCTCATCGTGTTGAGGGCTGGTGTGCGTGAGAGAATCGGCGCCTTCTGGCTTGTGCGTGAGGGAATCTGCTCGTGCCGGCCACGTCTGGAGAATGCATGAGGCTCCTTGGCAGTGGCTCATTCGCAGAGCGTTTCGCTTAAAATGAACAAATTCTTGTCCTTGGCCAAGTGAAAGCTCTTCTTTCACGCACTGTCTTTCTTGCACTAGTGACGGCGGCATCCCTGGTTACCGTGACTACTCTGAGTTATGCTGTGAGTGGGGGTGTGTGTCTGTGTGCTGGAAACGCTGAGACCCCCTTTGCAAAGTGCTTCTGGGAGAAAATAATGGGGGACCCCAGGAAGGCAATGTGCTCTATCCTCTCAGAGGCCCCCAACACCCAGCCACAGGTCTGTCTGTATCAGGCCCCCCCAAGTGCATCTCGACATCCTGTTCTCACGCCACGGGACGAGGGGTCATGTCAAACCCACAGGCCCACTGGTTCTGCTCTGCACTGTAAGTTCTCCGTCGTGCATGCCCCAAAGATGCCTGTCTCCCCCAGTTTTACAGGCCCCTGAACATCCGCATCGTGCTGGTGGGTGTGGAGGTGTGGACAGACGTTGACAAGTGCTCCATCAGCCAGGACCCCTTCACCAGCCTCCACGAGTTCCTGGACTGGAGGAAGGTGAAGCTTCTGCCGAGGAAATCCCATGACAACGCCCAGCTCGTCAGGTAGGGGTGGGGATGCTCCCCTCTACTGACAGACTGAGCCCAGCACCCAGCTTCTAAGTAGGGGTGGGGCTTCCCCTCTGTGGACAGAAAGACTGAGCCCAGCACCCAGCTCGTCAGGTACGGGTGGGGCCCTGCTGGTAGACCCAGTGGGGTGCATGCTCCTTCCTGAAAGCACCCGAACCGGCCCCTTTCTGCAGGCACCCACAGAGGAAGACCTCCTTGCCCCTCGCCAGCAGGCCAGGGCCGTGTAGACTGGTGGTAGGGGTCGCTCTGGATTCCCCAGAAAACTCTCTCTCAGCTGATGTTCCTCTTTGGAGCCATAAACTGCCTTCTGTGCCCAGACGCCACCGCCTCCTCCTCCTCCTCCTCCTCCTGTTCCCAGATGCCTCCTCCTCCTCCTCTTCCTGCTCCTCCTCCTGTGCCCAGATGCCTCCTCCTCCTCCTCCTCCTGCTCCTCCTCCTATGCCCAGATGCCTCCTCCTCCTCTTCTTCCTTCTCCTCCTCTTCCTCCTTCTCCTCCTCTTCCTCCTCCTCCTCCTCCTCCTCCTCCTGTTCCCAGACGCCTCCTCCTCCTCCTGCTCCTCCTCCTGTGCCCAGACACCTCCTCCTCCTCTTCTTCCTTCTCCTCCTCTTCCTCCTCCTCCTCCTCCTGTTCCCAGACGCCTCCTCCTCCTCCTCGTCCTCCTCCTCCTCCTCCTGCTCCTCCTGTGCCCAGACGCCTCCTCTTCCTCCTCCTCCTCCTCTTCCTTCTCCTCCTCTTCTTCCTTCTCCTTCTCTTCCTCCTTCTCCTCCTCTTCCTCCTCCTCCTCTTCCTCCTCCTCCTCTTCCTCCTCCTCTTCTTCCTCCTCCTCTTCCTCCTCCTCCTCTTCCTCCTCCTCTTCTTTCTTTTCTTCCCTTTCTTCCTCTTCTTCCCTTTCTTCCTCTTCTTCCCTTTCTTCCTCTTCTTCCTCCTCTTCCTCTTCCTCCTCCTCCTCTTTCTTTCTTTCTTTCTTTCTTTCTTTCTTTCTTCCCAGAACCAGGGCGACTTCTCTGAGACCCACTTTTCATTGTTGTTACATTGGGGAGGGAGGGGGGTCACACCTGCAGTGCTCGGAGGTTATTCCTGGCTCTGTGCTCGGGGGTGACTCCTGGTGGTGCTCCGTAGACCCAGTGCCAGCTCCACCCCGGGTCGGTGGGCAGCCTGCTAGGGAAGCCCCTTTCCCCTATTCTCCGCGACTCACAGAGACACGTTTTAAGTCTTCACATTGACACTGCATTACCCTAGAGCCTTTTTATCCCCTTGAAAGCTCATTTTCTCTCAGCCATGAGAGATGCTTTTGCGAGACAGGAGAGAGTCCGTGTGGCACCGCTGCCTCCCACAGGGACCAGAGGTCCTGAGTCACTTTGGCAAGTTGGCACCAGTTTCTTGACTGCCTGCGGGGAGCTGGAAGCCTCCCTGCCTCCCATAGGGAAAGGCTCTTCTAGCAGGAGGCCAAGACATGCCTTAGGGTTCCCAGCCCCACCCGGGACCCTCTGGTTACCATGCACTTCACACATAGATGAATCCCGAACCCCCGAGCACAGAGAGGGCTGTGTTCTGGGGCTCCCCCGGACGGAATCTGCCCGGCATGACCATGGGCACAGAAACCGGCCTCTTCTGTGACCTTAGACTTCAGGGCCATGTGTGCTGGTCTGCTGAAACGGGCTTGGTGATGTCAGTTAGAAGCTCCCATGGTAGCCGGGCTGGGCGGAAGCACACACACATCCGTCTGACCATAGAAATGAGGCCGTGTGGAGGTGTGGATCCCTTTTGCCCACCGGGACCCTGCCAGTATATCTTCCTTGTCAAGCAGTAGATTACAAAGCGGTGTCTGAACGGGCCGGGACGTCTCCACCACCTCCTTTGAGCAGGACTTGGCAGGGTTTCATTCTCATGCAGGGGGCGGGAACCTGGACCTTTAGACTCTGCCATCAGGTTACGATTTCAGCCAGGAGCAAAGTTGTCCCCAAGCAACCAGACCCTCTTCTGGAAGCTTCCAGAAGCTTCTCTCCAGGGGGCGGGGGACTTGCAGGTGCTTGCCACATCCATGCCAGCTCTAGGCAGCTGTCGTTTTTCTGTTCCAGTTTTGCCAGCTATGTGCTCAGTCAAGGCTGGGTTCGCGGCTCAGGGTGACATCATGGGGAAAGCCAACTTGGGCGACCCCAGGGCCGACTCCCCCAGCCAGGGCGAGAGGGGCAGGGCAAGGAGCAGGACTCCCCCAGAGGTGTGACGGACGCGGACGCCACCGCTGACGTGGTCTGGGTGGCCGGAGCAAGTCTCTGAAGCCCTGATGGGTTCGTGATGCGACTGGAAGCCGATTCTAGAGGAAGGGGCGCTGGGATACGCCCAGGTGCCGACCCTCATCAGCCCGGGCTGTTTTATAACCTACTGCCTCACTCATGCCGGAGCCCAGGACTGGCCCCCAGAGCAGCAGCTATGAGGAACCGTCCTTACTCTGTGCGAGTCTGAGGCTGTGTGTTCTCTTCTTTCCCAGCGGGGTCTACTTCCAAGGCACCACCATCGGCATGGCGCCCCTCATGAGCATGTGCACGGCAGAGCAGTCAGGGGGCGTCGTCATGGTAAGACGGAGGCCTGAGCCGAGGCCATGCCCGTCCCCACCCTATCCTGATCTGACAGTTTAGTTTTTTGTTTGTTTTGCTTTTTGGGTCACACCCGGCAGTGCACAGGGGTTACTGTGCTCTGCACTCAGGAATTACTCCTGGCGTTGCTCGGGGGACCATATGGGATGCTGGGGATCAAATCCAGGTCGGCCACGTGTAAGGCAAACACCCTCCCCGCTGTGCTATTGCTCCAGCCCCTAAGTCATGGTCACGGTCCTCCTGTTGTTCATCGGTTTGCTTGAGCGGGCCCAGTAACATCTCCATCGTGAGACTTGTTGTTACTGTGTTTGGCATATTGAATACGCCACAGGGAGCATGCCAGGCTTTGCCATGCAAGATACTCTCAGTAGCTTGCCGGGCTCTCCGAGAGGGGCGGAGGAATCAAACTCGGGTCGGCCACGTTGGCCGCTTGCAAGGCAAACGCCCTACTGCTGTGCTATTGCTCCAGCCCCTAAGTGTTTAGGCTTAATTCTACTCTTCTAGCTCTGTTCTGTTTGGGTATGGCTTCAAGGGCGCACATCCCACAGTGCTCAGGACTTTCTCCCGGTTCTGCCCTGGGATCGAGCCCTGCCCACTGGACCATCTCTCTGGCCCCTTCTCTTTTTTTCTGATCCTCCATATCCAAGAATATTTTAGGGTTATTTTAGACTTGTCCAGTTGCACACAAGGAAGAATACCTGTGTTACCATAGCCGGTCGAGGGCTACTCCGCCTTTGATTGGAAAACAAAACGATATCACAACTGATTTGGCTTCCGTCATTGTAACCCAGAAATCCCTCACAGCAGGGGGTATCCCTGGTCACTTAAATTCCTGAACACATTCGCCATGTGGGACTGGTTGAATGGCTGCTTTGGACAGTTCTACTGCACAGCCCAGTAAGCAAAAGGCTGAGGCTTGAAACTCCTGCCCACGGCAAATGCTCATCACATCTCCAGTGTGTCTTTTAGATCATCTTATCCTCAGAGGACTGACACTTAGGGTCCCTGTTTGCGGGAAGAGGGAGGGTCCCTGCATCCTTACGGGGCTCCCTGTGCTGGGGGATGGAGGGAGTTGGGACGAGTAGGCAGGACATGCTGCTTGCAAACTTCCAAGGCAGTGGCTGTTCCCCGGGGGGTATGCCCGCTGCGCCCCTCCAGGTGAGGACAGGTCAGGGATCACCTGTGCTGCCCCAGTGCTGAAAAGTTCCCTCCTTACTCACCCCCTGTGGCTTCCTCCCAGGGGGGGGAGTTTAAATGGTGAAAACCCCCCAAGTGGTCCTGCATCCCCATCCGACCAACAGCAGCCCACGCCTCCAGAGACCACAGCGCCCGGGGCTGCCCGAGGCCCATCTGAGAGCACATCCCAGTGCCCAGGACAGGATTCGGGTGCTGGGCACATCAGCTTCCGTCTTCGACTGCGCGGCGGAGTGAAGACCCAGACGCCCCCCTCTCATCTGCTCTCCGATCTTTAGCAGAACGTGCTCCCCACTGAGCTGAGCACAGCAGGAGGTCGAGTGGAGCCCAGCCACCCTGTGGCATCCCCAGCACAGCACGGTTGGGAAGTGGGACTTGGCTGGTGCCAGCTCACAGCTTGCCGGCTCCCAGCTGTGTTCTCGCAGAGTGGTCCATCGGGATGGAGAGAGGCTTGTTCTCTGTCTCATGGGTCCTGGGCTGGCGGTTCTGGAAGTTACCCCAGTGCTGATGTCCCTGTTCTTCAAGCTGTGACTGAATCCTTCACCTCAGGTGACTGTTGGGCAGACAGCTCAGCTAGACGCACCCTCAATGGCCCTGCCCCAGCCTGGGCACCTGAGGTGACAGTCCCAGCTCCTCTCTTCCACACTCTTCAAACATTCCAGCAAGATTCTCTTGACGTGCTCAGGAGCCCCACTCAGGACAGAACGCAGTGCCCTGTGGACTGCAGGCAGAGGCCATCAAAGAGCAGCGGACCCACGGGGACCCCCGTGTGGCCGACATGGCAGCAGAGGTGGGCAACCCTCAGCACAGCCCTCACTGCACCCATCTGTCTGAGTGTCTGTCCCTCTTTTGATGACTGTTAAGCTCTGGACGAGCAGCGGATCGCAGTCTAACCCGTGTTACCTTTCTGCCTGACTTTCTCCCAATGGTGGCTCCCAAGTTCCAGGTGCAGCTGTGACCTCGGGAGCTTCCTGCATTCGGAGGGAGGATGAAGAGGGAAGGCAAGTCAAATCTGACGAGAGCTTCCCCTGAAGCTCCTCTTTCTATGAGCCACCTCAAACCATTCATGGCAGGAACTCTCTGCCTTTGTCACTGATGCCTTCATCACATGAGTCTTGGTTTGGGGATGATCTCTTGGTTAGAGATTTTTTTTTCTCATGACTTTTACAGGGTCTCTTAAGAGCATCACTGAGGCAGGGAAGGATGTAACACACTTGAAATTAAAAACGAAACCCAGAACCAAAGGGCCAGCCCAGCAGGCCGCACCCAGCTTGGCATGCAGAAGGCTCGGGTTCAAGCCCAGCTAGTCCCACACGGTCCACTGAGAGTCACCCATAAGCACAGAACCACGAGTGGCCACCAAGCTCCACTTGAGTTCGGCCCCAAAACAAAATTTTTTTTTAAAAATGCTACTCAGTGATAGAGAAGAATCAGCCAGAGAAAGATATTATTTTCAGGATGAATTCCTCAAATCGTTATGCAGAAGCTAGATGCAGTCCTCCGCGCATTTAAATCAACTACATTTGCTTTGCCCACTTGAGTGATTCTTGAGGATGGATTTCCTGGCACTTGTTGTGAAACCCAACAGCGAGAAACTGAAATCCTGAGTGGCTGTCCCAGCGGGCGGGCGCAGCTACTCTGCACCCTCGACCCGAGAGTGGCCAGTCCCTACTTGGGGGAGGTCGTTGGTCTTCTTCAACCGCACACAGCTTCAGACGGGATCACATAGAGTGGTGTAAGGGAGACAGGCCCTGCCCAGCTAGCAGACCAGCCGAATCAAACCAGGCGCTCCCTGAGGTGACAGGTGCCACAGCCAGATCGCCCTCACATCCGGAACTGTAAGATCTAAACAAGATCATTTCTTAGGGATCTCATCTGCCTGGGCTGGAGCGATAGCACAGCAGTAGGGCGTTTGCCTTGTATGCAGCCGGTCTGGCTGAGCCGTGTTCGATTCCTCTGCCCCTCCCGGAGAACCCGGCAAGCTACCGAGAGTATCTTGCCCGCATGGCAAAGCCTGACAAGCTACCCGTGACGTATTCAATATGCCAAACACAGTAACAAGTCTCAAAATGGAGATGTTACTGGGCCCACTCGAGCAAATCAATGAACAACGGGAGAACAGTGACAGTGACTCACCTGGCCTAAGAAGAACTTGGTTCCTGAAAACACAAGGCTCATAAGAGTGACAACTCCAGGGAAACATGCCCCATCTTCGCTGGGCTGTGCCGTGCCTTTGCCACGAGGCCCACGAAGACCCATGATCGGAAAAGCGCCTTCCCTAACCTGGGACTGGGGCCCAACTACCTCTCTGACAACCTGCTATTATCTTCCTGGGCAGCCGACGGAAGGACTCAAGCGAGGTCCCTTCCAACCCCACAACAGCTTGTCCACTGTAAGCCCTGTCACCGATGGACAGTGGGGCAGAAGGAGAGTGCAGTGGCCATAGTTTCCCATGACCCCCATGGGCTCTCTGAACCACGTCGGCTGTGGACAGCATGAAGGCATGAGGCACGGGGACCCCCTCCAAAGCCAACCCACGGGGACCCCCTTGAAAACCAACCCACGGGACCCCCTCCAAAGCCAACCCACGGGGACCTCTCCAAAGCCAACCCACGGGGACCCCCTCCAAAATCAACCCACAGGGACCCCCTCCAAAGCCAACCCACGGGGACCCCCTCCAAAACCAACCCACGGGGACCCCCTCCAAAGCCAACCCACGGGAACCTCTCCAAAGCCAACCCACGGGGAGCCCCTCCAAAGCCAACCCACGGGGACCTCTCCAAAGCCAACCCCCGGGGACTTCTCCAAAACCAACCCACGGGGACCCCCTCCAAAATCAACCCATGGGGACCTCTCCAAAGCCAACCCACAGGGACCTCTCCAAAGCCAACCCATGGGGACCTCTCCAAAGCCAACCCACAGGGACCCCCTCCAAAGCCAACCCACGGGAACCTCTCCAAAGCCAACCCACGGGGACCCCCTCCAAAGCCAACTCAAGATGGGTGCACCACAGGCTCAGGACCACTGGTGATGCCCAAGGGGAGATCTGCTGGATTGCAGTTGGGATTGATCTTCAGTGGGACCATCCATGGGGCCACTTTTATGCTGGATCACGGTGGACGTGTCTCCCCCTCTATCAAGCAGGCAGGAGGGAAGGGGAACAGTAGCGCCATGTCGGGATCCCCGGCTCTACTCTCCCCACCGACTTTCTACTGGGAGCCTCTCGATCCACAGCCCACAGCCCTTACATGGCCCACGGAGGGATGCTCTGGTGTTCCATGGTGCGAGACAGCTTTCCTTCCAGACTGCTCTCTTCCCAGAGATGGTAGGAATCGGGCAGGAGAGAGGGACGTTCATTATCCATGGAAAGGCACGAGCTGCCTGAGACACACAATCCTGGGTGCAAGGGACCCCAAATGGGTTTCAGAATTCTCCCAACAGCATTTGCCCTCTCGGAGAAAGCTTTCGTTATTTTTCATCGAAAATGTTTTCTGGAGGAAAAATAAAGGATGTTTCCTGGAGCCAGAGAGATCGCTGAGTGGGCTTACCAGGGCTTGGCATGTGGGAGGCCAGGGTCAAGCCCCACTTCATGATCCCCTGAGCACCCCGTGAGCACAGAGCCAGGAGGGACAAAGCATGGCTCCCCCCCCCCTCCAAAAAAAAATAAATGTTTCCTATCCGTGTAGAGCAGCACCTCTTGCTGCTGGTGGTGGCCGAGTAGAACCCCGGGGTAAGTACATCCATGGGAAGAATCCGTAAATTATGTCATTGTTTTTTTCAAGTTTGAACTCAGTGCTGGGTTTCGTTTGTTGGTGAAGGGGGGATTCGGGCGAGTCTGGGAGGTAATTCAAGGGGGACGAACGTTCTACCTCTGTGCTCTTGTGTTTTCTTTGAGGACCACTCAGACAGCCCCCTGGGTGCGGCTGTCACGCTGGCGCACGAGCTGGGCCACAACTTCGGGATGAACCACGACACACTGGAGCGAGGCTGCAGCTGCAGAATGGCGGTCGACAAAGGGGGCTGCATCATGAGCCCCTCCACCGGGCAAGTACCCACCGTGTCCAACAGCAGGCCTGGCTCCCAAGGCCGGCTAGGAAACGGCAGCCGTGGAAGTTTCTAGAGGGGATTGTCTTCCCCAGTAGCACAACCTCAGTGCATCAGGATGGAAGTGGTGGGGATGGTGGTTGTCTTGGTGTGTGGATCGTGACTTCTCTACCACCCCGACTGTGTGTTTGTCCGAGCCACCGGAGAGGCTGGTGGGCACGGCTTGGAGTGGCATCGGGTGCCATATTGAGGGTCCCAGGTGTGAGTTGCTTCTTCCCAGGGCTTCTCTGAGCTGCGTTAGCAGCTGGGGAATCTGGAGTGTTCCTCATACCCCATCCCCTGGCCACACCGGAGAAATTGCATCAATTTTTGGTGGGCTGGAGCGATAGCACAGCGGTAGGGCGTTTGCCTTGCACGCAGCCAACATGGCCGACCCGAGTTCGGTTCCTCCACCCCTCTCGGAGAGCCCGGCAAGCTACCGAGAGTATCTCGCCCACACGGCAGAGCCTGGCAAGCTCCCTGTGACGTATTCGATATGCCAGACACAGTAACAAGAAGTCTCAAAATGGAGATGTTACTGGGCCCACTCGAGCAAATTGACGAACAACGGGAGGGCCTTTACCTTTACCTTAATGTTATTCCTTATGTAATGCATTTCTGATAGTCTTGACTTAGATCACCCGTACAAAGTTTCCCAACGGGGAACATTGGAGTGAGGCAAAAACTGATGCCAACAGGAGGTCTCAGAGATTCCTGTGTGGCCCCCCTCGGGAGCTGCCTGGGCAGGAGGGAGTTCGCTTGGTGGAGGCCAAGGCATACTCGCTGCTGTTCTGTCCGCGCTCCTCGTACCCATGACTGCTCCTCCCTCCGCCACTTCAAGGCGGCTTGGGGTGCAGGATGCCAGCCGGAGGAAGGCGGAGGCAGTTCCACCTGAGGGATGGGTCGATGGAGCAGGTCGTGTTTCTGGAAGCAAGAGCTGGGTGGACTTTGCGTCCCATGCTGGCACTGTGCCCCTTGGCTCTCGGAGGCCATGGAACTATGCAATGCAGTGGGCACTGACATTGGTGAGTGTCAGTGGGGGTCTCATTGTCCCTAGGGAAGTGCCCACTTCCGTCCAGCCCTGGCCTGCACAGAGCCAGTAGCCTTCCTCCTGCTTGACCTTCTACCTGTGGCCTGGCATGAGGGATATACTAGGAGTGAGACCACAGAAGCCAAGAACTAACCCCCAAATCTTAAGGGGCCAAAAGTTAAAGCCAGGTGAGCGAAACGGGTCTCTCCAAGAGGCAGGTTATGTCCTGAGCAGATAGGCACCATGTGGGGTAGGCATTTGGGGCAAAGAAGCTCTTCCTAGTGGGAGGTTGGACAGGGGACCCTGTGGGGGTCTTCTGTTTCCTTCGTTCCTTCCATCTATCCATCTGTTCATCCATTCATTCATCCATTAATTGCTGTGTCCTTCTGTTTATCAATCCATAATCATGGTTTCCATCCATCCATTCATCTACCACACGTCATTTTTTCCATCCAGACGCCCATCATCATCCTTCTGTCTGTCATCCTGCCCATGCATGCGTCCATCCATCATCCATCCACCCACTCCTTCACCTGCCTCCAATTCCCAGCCATCTCCCCACCCACCTGCTCATCCCTGTGTCCCTCCAGTTATTTTTTCATAAACAACAACTTTCGGTCCCTGTTCTTGTTGTGGGGATTGCATAGGCAGAAGGCCCATAACCCTCGAAATTACCTGTCTTGGGGAACACAATGAGAAGGCAGGCTTTCTGGCAGTCCTTGTAATTCTGTACAAAGCTCTTCGAATTGCAAAGCCTTTGTGGCAATGTTCGAGGACATAGGCCAAATTACCCTGGATATATTTGAAAAGCAGAGCTAGGAATGGTATTGTTGAGCGTTCAGCAAATTATTTGAAAGAGGTTTTTTTTCATACCAGTTGCTTGCTAATAGCCTTGACTTGATTTATACCTTATTAGCAATTTCTAAGTTTTCCCTTTTGCTGAGCTTGTGCTTTTGTGTAAATCTTTTCTATTTGGTTCTCATTTATGATCCCAGATTCCTTTCCAGAGAGCAGTGTTTTTAATTTTCTTGGATGGAAAGAAACTTCTACGCAAGTGGGGGAATTAATCACGAAAGCCCACAGCGAGGGGAGGTCACACGGCCCAGTCCCTTCGCTGTCCATCACGGCTGTCAGATTTGAGAACCTCCAGGCTTCTCTGAATCTCGGCATTATCTCAGCATGCCTGCCCTCCGTCACCCCGCCAGCTCCCCCAGCAAATCCTTACAGGTTGTAAATCACGGAGACACGGCAGTATTGTTGTTGCCAACCAACATCCAGAGACGCTGAGCCTAGAGAGAAGTCAGCCCTTCCCTCGATTCTTGCCCAGTTACTGGAAATGACCTTGGGGACCTCTTGACAGTCATTCCTCAATGCACCCGCAGTTACTGAGCACCCCGTTAATTCCAGAGAGGGCACCAGCCTTCCTGCAACTCCCACCACCCACCCAGGCTGAGTGACAGATGTTAAAAATGTCATTAAGTCTTTGCCCAAAGGTGACTTGCAGACAGACAAATCAGTAACTGCTTTAATGCTATTAAACCCTCCCAGAATCAAAGTACCTCCATTGTCACAGGGAGAGAAAGGGGGTGAGTGCATCCTAGGAGGCACTGCTGACGCCTCCAACCTTGCCACAGCACCCACGCATGCTGGACGCAGAGTCCAGCTTCCCCAATCCCCGCTGCAGGTTCCGGGAACGAGAGGCCTCGTGGGCGGTCTCATGATTTACTGCGAGTGTTTGAGTGTGTGTGAGCACGTGTGTTTTATGTCTTGGGGTAGTTAACATTAAGACCTGTCTTGAAAATCACTCTGTGGCAGGCGCAATACCGGGGCTCTGTTGGGAGGGGTGGGGGTGGAGGAGACTCACTCCGTCCACACAACAGTGAGCCTGGAGCCTTCAGGCTGGCGGGATTGAGCACCGTCCCATCTGCCTCGTTTAGGGGAGGAAGAACAATGTGAATCATTCGAACACTTTGGAAGAGGGTATTGGACATCCTGGTGCTTCCTAGAGCAGGGGGAAAACCAAGAAGAGGCCATGCGAGCCTTCGAAACAGCCTTCTGACTTCCTTCGTTGGCAGCAAAAATCGCTCTCCAGACAGGACTTGGAGGAATAGAACTATCTCTTAGCGGGGTGAGTGCCCTGAGCTCCTGCAGGCTGCCAGCACTGGGCAGACTCGGGGCTCGGCACAACAGTCCCAGGATGTGCCCTGCAGCCTTGAGGACAGACTAGACGTACAGGTTGGAGGCGTGAGGAGAAGTAACCAGGCAGGAAACAGAGAAACGAGGGCTCGGGGAGGGTGGGAGGATGGCTCTAGCCGTGATCGCGGGCCAGGAGGAGGTTCTCTGGGGAGGTGATGTTTGAGCAAAGACCAAAGGGTGAGAATGAACAAGTCAGTGAGCTCAGATGGAGGTGAGACACCGAGGCGTGGTCAGGCCACTGCCAAGGACTGGGAATCTGGGGTCCTGGGTTGCCAGAGAGCAATGAGGCACGGGGGGCAGCAAAGCCCATCTGCCACCTGGGCACCAGGCTGGGTCCCCAGGCAGCGAGATGAGGACATTGGCAGCTTCCAGAGAGGTACCATGACCTGATTTCTCTCTATGCCTGTGAACCTCCCTTGCCACTTACTTTGGGGCTAACTGGCTGACAAGGAGGATGGAGAGGAGGGACTTCCTGTTTCATAGGGGTGGAACTTCCTGTTTGTTTTTCAACAAAGCCATAGGTCAATTCAATTTCAGTTGAATCCCGGGGTTCAAAGGGATCTGCTGTACTGGCCTCCCTGGTGTGGTCTCCCTGAGGGGTTCACCCTCACATCCAGCCTGCATCTCCACTCTCTCTGCTTCGGTAGGGAAGATTCTTTTCTGTTGAGGCTCTTCCCCTCCAGCCTGCTAGGATGCTACTGCAGTTGCCACAGAAGGACAGGAATTCTGCCCCCTTTCTGTGCTGATCCCAAGGGGGCCGTAGGCTCGGGGGGTTTGGCCCCATCAGACTGGTGCAGGGCTGCTAAGGAGAGGAGAAGCATAGGGAGTGCTGTGCGAGCCCCCAGACATGCAAACTGAGACGCCAAAGAGGGGCCACAGTTCAGCCATAATCCTGCCATCATCCGCACCTGTGAAGATTGTCCCACGAAGGCTGAGGAGGAAGCAAAAGACACGCCTGGCAATTGTGAGGCCTGCGCCGGACCCCAATGTCTCACGGCCTGGAGCAGCAGCCTGACCCCAAGCACTTCCCTGTGGGAGCCCCCGATTTAAGAAAAGAAAAGCCTGAGATTATGAGCAGGACGTGAGGGCAGTAAGCAGGAGAGGTCCTCTGCAGTGAAGCCCTGTCCAGCTCACCCCTAGGGGGCTGGAAGGGCAGGGGACTTTCCCAACAATTCCGCTCAGATTGATGGAAATGTGAGTTTGTTTGGCTGGGTTGGGTTGGGTTTTGAGGGAAACTATTGCCTGAAACTATTTCAAAGCACTAAAAGTGAATTCTACTCCAGTGAAAACCCCCCAGAGCTCGGGCTGTGCTAGAAATGGATAGAAACCCCCTCGCATCTAGAAAGTCCCCCACTGTCCTGCCTGAAGAGCCGTCCAGAGCTCACCTGGTCACGGGGCACCCGTGTGGGACGGGAGTCACTCCTTGAGACCATACACACACACACACACACACACACACACACACACACACACACACCCCTCACAGATGAGGCTGGAAAGCCAGTCCCTGCATCTGCTCTTCCTAGGAGAAAAAGTTCCATGTGAGTTTTTCCCTCCATGAAAAGTTAAAAAATATATATATATATATATATATATATATATATCAGTTTTCTTCCTCAAAGTTGGAGAGGAAGGCTGGGGGTAGGGGGTGGGGGAGGTGGAAATTTTTGTCTAGGAGAAAAGGGAAGGACATCCACCCTCCGCGGGATGAGGACAGGACATCTGTTATGATGAA